TTTCCTAAAAATTAAATAACAGAACCATAGCTGCCTATATGAAAAGTAAGATAACAAAAAAAGGTCAATGGCATTTATGAGGCTGTGTGTGACATGAATTTGATCTGATAAAAGATCTACGTGTTGCTACATAAAAATAACACATATGAAGCCCGTTTTCTCTTTTGTCTTATCACTTCAGGATAAGTTCTAAACACTGATGGCTTTGCAAATGGATATTGACAGTCTCAGTCACAATATTAATGAGATATATTGGCTAATAGAAACCCTGAAGTTACATTTTCTTTATTGAGCCCAGTAAGATGAAACCCAGCTCTAGCAGTATTCTCTCATTTGAATGGCTGGTGTGGTCTCCTTGATTGAAATGACTGCTCTGTTGAGTTGAATGAATGGCACTGCTAAAAAGTACTCTGTCAAATATTGATAGCTAATTAGATGGATTTTTATCATAATAGTCAACTGCACTCACACATACGCACACACAAAGAAGAGCTATTAAAGATCTTGACAAGAAAATAAACTGAGCCTCAGAACATTACTGTTTATTCAAAGCTCATTTCTAAGTTTGGCACTCAAAGTAGGAAGATTTATTTTTATAAAACCAGTGAATAATAAACCCAAGGGAGTATGTGCACATTTTAAGAAAAATCAGTACTAAGGTTGTCTATTATAGAATTGCTGGAATTCTTGACCAACCAGCTTTTTGGAAGCTCTGGAGTCTCTTAATTGCTCAGCCTGTTAAAATTTTTCAGGAATAGCCTGAGGAAGTTTTTCTAATAAAGAAATAGTCCAAGGACAAAGAAAAAAATACTGATACTTGAGAATAAATAAAAAACTGTGAATAATCTTTAAGCCTTGACAAAGATGTCTATATTGGGTGAAGTTTGAGGCACTAATGCAAATATAGAGTGAAACTGAACACAAATTGGGGGAAAAAAATGAATCTGAATGTCAGAGAAAGAAAAAGAAAAAGTGAAGAACCTCAGTGATTTCATTAAGAAATTACCATGGAGTATGAAATAAACTCAGAATTAAAGTTAATAAGTATTAGAGATAGTAATCAAGATGGTCCAGTAGCAGGGATACCAGCATCATAGGATAGGAAAAAAGGTATTGGTAGATATTGAAACTATTTAATAAATTTCTGTTCTCATACATTTTGACTCGTTAGCCCAAATATAGCTATTACTCTGCCCATTAGACTGAGAAAAATGAAAAGCAGCAATGCCAACAAATATATTAAGCCACAAAGACCTTGAGATGGCTTAGGTGGATACTCTTTCTTCCTCATAGATTCATAAATTATTCTTGGAAAATGCTCACAGGTAATTGAGCTAATTTTTAAGATTCCTTTAAACATTCCTTTATTTACCTTGTTTCTCTTTACACTGTGAATTTTACTACAAGCTAACATCTTCTGCAAAGAATTAACAGGGGAATGCAGGCTATTCTTTTAACAAAAAGTTAATGATTACTTGCAACAAGTGATGATAATAACAGTAATTACATTAACTACCATATGTTGAATATTAGTATCCTCCATGAAAATTGCTTTATAATCAAAGAGCAAAATATACTCCCTGCCCTCAAAGAACTTACTTACAGTGTAATAGGAAAACTCTAATGATACTTTATTAAGCAGCTACTATGTGTCATCACTGTTCTAAATGCTTTACTTATGTGTATTAACTCATGTCATCATCACAAAAAAAATCCTATGAGATGGGAGCTATTAATATCACCATTCGATAGTTGATGAAAGTGAAATCCATAGAGGTTTAAGTAACTTGCAGAACATCATAAAACCAAAACCCATGTTCATAACCTCTATATATAAAGCTCCTTTAATGTCATAAATAGTCATTTGGTAAAATATAATGCCAAGAAGGGAGGCATTCTTTCCAATTAGGATATTTCAGAAGGTTATCTTAAAGACACAAGAATTTGAGACGAGTAAAATATAAGTTAAATTTAAGTCAGTCCACTTGGTCACTGATTAGCTACTGAGGTCAAAAAGAAGTGTGATTAGGCCAGGCGCAGTGGCTCATGCCTGTAATCCCAGAACTTTGGGAGGCTGAGGCAGGTGGATCACGAGGTCAAGAGATCGAGACCATCCTGGCCAGCATGGTGAAACCCCATCTCTACTAAAAGTACAAAAATTAGCTGGGCGTGGTGGTACGTGCCTGTAGTCCCAGCTACTTGGGAGGCTGAGGCAGGAGAATCGCTTGAACCCGGGAGGCGGAGGTTGCAGTGAGGTGAGATCACACCACTGCACTCCAGCCTGGTGACAGAGCGAGACTCTGTCAAAAAAAAAAAAAAAAAAAAAGTGTGATTTCTGCAATATCAAAACATCATGTTGTACTCCATAAATGTATTAAATTTTTATTTGTCGACTTGAAAAATAATTTTTAAAAAACACAAAAAAGAAAGGTGACTAAAATGATATTTAGATAATTTTTCAAGTTCATATATTACCCCAATCTGTACCTTCAAGGTACCGAGCACCTAATAATATAGTAGAAGAAAGTTCTTAGGTTATTGAAAAATAAATTGGCTAAATTTTCTCAGGACTTGAACAATTGCAGGACTTTAATCTTTAAGGCATAGTAACCACATATGCTATTCATCTACCTCAACATGTGATCCCAATAGTTATTGAATTTATAAAATACTCTGCATAATGGGTTAGACCACAGGTCAGGAAATTATAGCCCACGAGCCAAAGCCAATCCAAAGCCTGTTTTTGTAAATAACATTTTATTGAAACACAGCCATACTCATTAATTTACACACTGTCTATGGCTATTTTTGCACTACAATGGCAGAGTTGAGGAGTTTAGAAGAGACTTTGTGACTAGCAAAGCCTAAACTATCTACTATGTGTACCTTTACAGACAAAGTTTTCTAGCCCTTGGATTATAGAGAACTTTAGAATGAATAATCTCCCATTTTCATGAAAATCCTGTCTTATCCTTATTAAAAAATGTCCCCTTGATTCTATCCTAAGGCTCCTATAATATTTAAAACAATGTTTACAACATCAATATTATCTTTCCCAAGTTCAGTAAAGCCCAACCAACCAAAACTCATAGCCTCCTGTTCTTTTATAAACGTCCTTCATTTTTTTCAAAACAGTTCTAAGTTACTGATGCCAAAGGGTTATTCATCATATTCAACTAGTAAAGTATATACAAGTAGAAGATACTCTCCTGAAAGTTATAAAAATCACTTTAAACAGGATATAGGACCATTCTCTAAACTTTATACTCTGGCGTGGACAATGTGAATACAAACAGTTGGTATGATATAATGAACAAAAAACATCCAGGCAGGTTATAAACTAAATCTACCCAGTGGGTAGTTTTTATAATGTTATCTTCACAGTCCCTCCAGGGAACATGAGTTCCAGGTGAGATGAATTTATAAGCATATTCACAGTAATGTACTCAAAACAAAGCCTAAAAATTGAATACCTTCTTCTGGCTTCCCAAAATAAGGATTCAACAGTTAACTTTGATGATCTTTTTTCCCATATCCTCCTTCAAAATTTCCCTTAATTTCCCATCTCCTCATTACTGCCAATCTAGCCAGTATCCTTCCAGGCTCTCTCTTTCACAAATCAAAAGTTGTGGACCAAATGTTTATGTCTCCCCCAAAAGCAGATGTTGAAGCCTTAACCCCCAAAATAATGTAACTACATTTGGAGAAAGGACCTGTGAGAAGAATTAAGGTTAAATGAGGCCATGAAGATGGTGACCTAATCCTATAGGGTTGGTGTCCTTATAAGAGGAAGAGAGAGCAGAGTGCTCACTCGCTCGCCACAAGCACAAACGGGAGGTCATTTGAGCACATGGTAAGAAAGCAGCCATGTACAAGCCAGAAAGAGAGTCCTCACTAGGAACCAGATCTTCAGGCTCCTGGATCACGGACTTCTAGCCTCCAGAACCATGAGAAATTATATTTCTGTTGTTTAAGTCAAGCAGTCTCTGGCATTTTGTAATGGTAGCTCAAACAGACTAATACACCAAACCTAAACATCACCTATCTCAGTGTGTTTTGTGTTGTTATAAAGGAACAACTGAAGCTGGGTAATTTACGAAGAAAAGAAGTTTATTTGGCTCATGGTTCTGCAGGTCATACAGGAAGGATGGCACCAGCATCCGCTTCCTGTGAGGACTTCGGGAAGCTTTCAATTATGGCAAAAGGGGTAGGGGGGCCAGTGTGTCACATAGTAAGATGGGGAGCAAGAGGAAGGGTGCCAAACTCTGAACAACTAGCTCTCACATGAACTAACAGAGTGAAAACTCACTCATTACCACAGGGTAATGGAGGACACAACCATTCAGGAGGGACTTGCGCCTATGACCCAACACTTCTACTAGGCCCCACCTCTAACACTGGGGGTCAAATTTCAACATGAAATTTGGAGGGGACAAAAATCCAAACCATATCATCACCTAAAGATTACTTTCAAAAGTAACACTTTGGGCATGCTACTTTCTCCTCAAGAACATATGTTTTGCTGACATGATTGTCTCTTCTTCTGTGACTATAATGTTGTTTGAATTATTGCCCTTATCTAGCATCCAAGGTTTGCCACAATCTTACCACTTTCTAACCTTAACTACCTCCAAGAATTAACAAAGTTAGGTGTTTTGTTCACTGAGCCTGAATACACCTTGCTCATTTCTACATTTGTTTGCCCTGAATTTTCACAAATAGCCCTATCTTTTCTGTCCATTTTTAAGTACTTTATCTTTCTTATACCTTTAGTCAACTATGGGAGCCTGTACTGACTTCTTCCTCTGAATAAAATTTACTGCTTATATCACTTGTTTTGATATATATATATATATACACACACACACACACACACACATATACCAAATATGTTTTAAATACTTTTTCAATCCACCAGCTATAGTTAATTTGAATATGAAATGAAAAAATAAAGAAATAAAGCTAACTTTTACTGTAACAACAATAGAAAAGATTTAACTTACTTAGAAGTAACTTCATCCAAAACACATGAGATCTATAAGATAAATGAGTAACAGAAAAGTTCTGTAAGATATAGTGTATTTTTAGAAAGATTGAATAAACATAAATATTATAATATGTACAATAATATATATTTCATGTATATGTCTATTATTTCCAAATCAATATATAGTAATAAAGCAATATCAAAAATCATATGATCATTTGAATCTTGATAAAATTAGTCCAAAGTTTATCAAACATAAAACAAGTTAAAACAGCTAATAAGGAAAAAATAAAAGTTATAGGAGAATTGCCTATATGAAATGTTTGACAATCTATAATAACACTATTATACTGGTACAATATAAACAATCATATAAACATATAGAATAACTTATCAACAGGTACTAATCTATAAAAGACTTTACTATTTCTTTAGAGAAACACTGCAAATCAATGGAAAAGATGGACACAACTGACTATAATTTAAAGAATATTGACTACTGGGAAATTAATAAACTCATAAAATTAAATTACATGTAAGCTACAGAGTTAACTATAAAAACTAAAACCTTAAAAGTAGGACTAATATAGGTGAATATGTGCACTCCACGTAAGAAAGTAATTTCTAAGCATAAAAACAGTGAAATAAATTGATTTTATTGCACAAAAGAGAAAACTCTCTGTATTTAAAATATTTGAACCAAAATTTAAGGGCAAAAGTTAAAATAAAATAAGGAGAAAATATTTGAAATAACCATGACAAAGGAGAGGCTCAAACAATAGACAGCATATTGGTATGAAATATATACCCCATGTTAACAGAGCTTCATCTCTGGATGTTATTTTCCTCTTCTAACTTTATGTATATTTGAAGTTTTTATCAGTAAACAAAATGTCCTATGTAATTAGTAAAAAAAGAAGTTATGAGGAGAAAGGAAAAGAAAAATATAAAATAAAGAAGGAATTGCCAAGGAGGTTCTGGTTAGCAGAGACAGGCTGTTCTTCATTTAAAAATCACCAAAGATTTTGGAATAAGTGTGATGTGGTGCTGAGAAGAATGTATATTCTGTTGATTTGGGGTGGAGAGTTCTGTAGATGTCTATTAGGTCTGCTTGGTGCAGAGATGAGTTCAATTCTTGGATATCCTTATTAACTTTCTGTCTCGTTGATCTGTCTAATGTTGACAGTGGGGTGTTGAAGTCTCCCATTATTATTGTATGGGAGTCTAAGTCTCTTTGTAAGTCTCTAAGGACTTGCTTTATGAATCTGGGTGCTCCTGTATTGGGTGCATATATATTTAGGATAGTTAGCTCTTCTTGTTGAATTGATCCCTTTACCATTATGTAATGGCCTTCTTTGTCTCTTTTGATCTTTGATGGTTTAAAGTCTGTTTTATCAGAGACTAGGATTGCAACCCCTGCTTTTTTTTGTTCTCTATTTGCTTGGTAGATCTTCCTCCATCCCTTTATTTTGAGCCTATGTGTGTCTCTGCATGTGAGATGGGTCTCCTGAATACAGCAAACTGATGGGTCTTAACTATTTATCTAGTTTGCCAGTCTGTGTCTTTTAATTATAGACACACTATAATTAATATAATCAACCCAAATGTCCATTTAGTCCATTTAGTCCATTTACATTTAAGGTTAATATTGTTATGTGTGAACTTGATCCTGCCATTATGATATTAACTGGTTATTTTGCTCGTTAGTTGATGCAGTTTCTTCCTAGCATCGATGGTCTTTACATTTTGGCATGTTTTTGCAATGGCTGGTACCGGTTCTTCCTTTCCATGTTTAGTGCTTCCTTCAGGGTCTCTTGTAAGGCAGGCCTGGGAGAAAATTTTTGCAATCTACTCATCTGACAAAGGGCTAATATCCAGAGCCTACAAAGAACTCAAACAAATTTACAAGAAAAAAGCAAACAACCCCATCAAAAAGTGGGCAAGGGATATGAACAGACATTTCTCAAAAGAAGACGCATACAGCCAACAGACACATGAAAAAATGCTCATCATCACTGGTCATGAGAGAAATGCAAATCAAAACCACAATGAGATACCATCTCACACCAGTTAGAATGGCAATCATTAAAAAGTCAGGAAACAACAGGTGCTGGAGAGGATGTGGAGAAATAGGAACACTTTTACACTGTTGGTGGGATTGTAAACTAGTTCAACCATTATGGAAAACAGTATGGCGATTCCTCAAGGATCTAGAACTAGAAGTACCATGTGACCCAGTCATCCCATTACTGGGTATATACCCAAAGGATTATAAATCATGCTGCTATAAAGACATATGCACACATATGTTCACTGCAGCACTATTCACAATAGCAAAGACTTGGAATCAACCCAAATGTCCATCAGTGACAGACTGGATTAAGAAAATGTGGCACATATACACCATGGAATACTATGCAGCCATAAAAAAGGATGAGTTTGTGTCCTTTGTAGGGACATGGATGCAGCTGGAAACCATCATTCTCAGCAAACTATCGCAAGAACAGAAAACCAAACACCGCATGTTCTCACTCATAGGTGGGAACTGAACAATGAGATCACTTGGACTCGGGAAGGAGAACATCACACACTGGGGCCTATTATGGGGAGTGGGGAGGGGGGAGGGATTGCATTCTGAGTTATACCTGATGTAAATGACGAGTTGATGGGTGTTGACAAGTTGATGGGTGCAGCACACCAACATGGCACAAGTATACATATGTAACAAACTTGCATGTTATGCACATGTACCCTAGAACTTAGAGTATAATAATAATAATAATAAAATAAATAAATAAAAATAAAAATCACCAAAGATTTTTAAAATGAAAGAGAACTGAAATGAGAATTATTCTATAAGTGATGGCAAAGGGCTCTCCCCCAGAATAGGAGTTACTAGTTTCTGATTCTAGAAGGGGCTTTGGTCAAAAGAACAAAGCCAAAGGAAAAGAACTTTGGAAGATTACTAAAAGCAAAAGCAATTTTATGAAGTATAATGTAGTTCTCAATTATACACTCTTAGATGGAGTAAAATACTATAATCCAATTGAAATCTCTGCTTCCATCTGATGGTTTACGAATAGTATCAAAAGTCTACAATTAAATTACTGCATCACTCACTTTTGGATAATAGGTTGATAATATTAATACATACAAAATAAAGAAAATTTAAGAAGGAGAAAATCATGTTTTCAGTATCAGTAATCAGAAGTTAGAATCAAGAGCCTACTGTTCGTATACTGCCTAAAATAACCTGTGTTAAGAATTAGAGTGCCATTGGATTTGAGGTTTGAATAGAGTAAAATTTAAATAATCACTCTAACAATTATTTATAAACACCCTATTATATGCCTCTGCCCTATTGAAGAGTCAATACAAGGAACAAAATAAGCATTTCCTCATCCTGTTGAGTTTTCAGACCATTGAGGGATACAGAGAAGTAAACAGACAATGATGACATAGTGTGATAAGCATTGGGAGGGAGACACTTACAGTGCTTTGACAGCACATAAGGAGCATTTATCTCAGATATGAATGACCAAGGAAAACTTCCTGAAAGAATATACTTTTAAGCTGAGACCTGAAAGAGGGTAGAAGCTAGCCAAATTAATATGAAGAAGAAACAAATTATAGACAGGGGAAAATACATGTGCTCAGAGGCAACAGAAAACATAGCTTGTTGCTGGAGACCAGAATGGGGAGCGAGAGCGGTAAGAAAAACAGCTGGACGACTTTAATCAGATTAGTAAGTCTGAACTTCTCCTTAGGGTAATAGAAAACCATTTGAGCAGGAATGGAAGGGGTGATGTAATTTTTTAATTATTACTTTTTCTTAATAGGAGGGGCAGGGAGACTCCATGGACTCAGCTAAGAGTTTCATACTATGAGATAAAATGGTGGCCTAAGCCAGAATATGATGCTGTGGATAGGGAAAAGTAAACGAATTTTAGAGATATTTTGGCATCAGAATCTTTAAGAAACAGGGATTGAATGTGGGAAGAGTAGAGCCTTTTAAAATCTGTAGAATTTCAGTTGTCGAATTTATTGGAATAAAGTTTTTCATAGCATTCCTTTATTAATCTTTTGATAGAACATGTAGTAATGTCATCTCCCACTCCTGATACTAGCAATTTATGTTTACTCTCTTTTATTCCTGATTATTCTGACTAGAGGTTCATCAATTTTATTGATCTCAAGAACTAGCTTTTGGTTTCACTGATTTTCTCTACTTGTTTGTTTTCCATGTCATTGGTTTCCACTCTGATCCTTATTTATTTTTTCTTCTACTTATTTTTTGTTACATTTGCTTTTCTTTTTCTAGTTTCTTTATTTGTTTCTGCCTTCAATATCAGAGTTGTTTTTAAGCTTTCTTCATTGAGACCAGATCATTTAATCTAGGGCTATTATCCTCTACTTCTTAATACTCTACCCAATGTCTCAAGAATAATGAGATTTTTGACAGCACTTAAGGAGCATTTATCTCTGGCTGATAGAACAGTAACTATTCCTAGCCTTGAGTGAGCACGGGAAATTGTTCTCTGTAATCCCTTCAAGTGACTCCTTCCACAGTCTCCGTTAGTTCTTTCATAAGCATGCATTGATCAGTAGTCAGCTAAAGACTTCAAAGGAACCCTCTTAAGACCTCTGAAGTCCTCTGTCTGTGCAGTTATTCCCTCTCCCTTATTCTACCCTGCATCCTCTGGTCTCCTAGAGGACAGTAATGGGAACTGATAGTTGAAAGACTGGCTTGACCACCCCTTAGCAAGTCCTGTATAGATGTACCCTTCACTTTAGATTGTGTGGGTCACATCACTCCCATTGCTCTAAATTCTCAGACAAAATCCAGAAAAAAAAATTATTATCTTCCTCCCGAGTCATCTACCTTTTCTACCCAGGAGTGTCCATCATTGACAGTATGCGAGGAGAGAAGGGAAGTACCCCGTCTCTGATGAAACTTTCATTAGTTAAGGAGTTGAACAAGATAAGATCCAAAGTTCCTCCCAACTCTATTATTCTATAATTTTATGCACAATTCTAAAGAAGTAATTATCAGAATGCAAAAGGAGAAAAAAGTCTATACAATAAGCATAAAGAAAAAAATGTTATTTCATTATATTAAAAATGAATGGCTAGATGACCTAGGAAGGAATGAAGGAGATGGCAATAGTTTTATTAGCAGTGTAAGGGAAGTAAAGGGCATTATATAATTAACATACTGAACTGTTTTCATATTTAATCGTTATATCAGAATGGCCAGCAACTTCAACTCAGGTCATTCTCTGCATCCCTAATGGGTCATAGCACATGTAATATTAATTATAGTCATTAAGTGAGAAGTCTCTATAACGCCTTCAACTTAGGGTCTCTCCCACACAAAGCTAAAGAAAAGGATCTTCAGACAGACATTTACATTCCTTTGCTCTTGATTCAGCTTTTGTCTTAATAAGAGGGAAATAATTACAGGGCTACAATATGTCACTCTTTTGAAGAGTTACTTAGAGGACGGTACTGATACCTACTCCCATTTACCTAATCCCACTCTACTTCTAGGTGATTCATTTATAATCCCATGGGTAAAATAGGATAAAGGCTATTATTCTGGAGTTTCTCCAAATTGTGAGAAAATATAGGTCAATCTTTACAGTTTGAAGTTTCAGAATATCGAATTTTCATTACTTGAAGTAATGGACTGGCCTAATAAGTAGGTAATTTCCATATTATCTTTGGGGTTTAGTTCATTTAACATCAAAAGAAACAAGTTTAACTATTTTTTCCACCACCTTTGTTTTTGACTAGTTTAATTAATACCCGCTGTTTCCAGCTGTGATGTCGCAAAGCATAATATGGTCATTAGTACTCTCTGAGACCTGCACAACTAGAGCCCCTGCCCTGGGTCCTACTTTAGAGAGACCAGTTCTGGCCCTCTGGGCATGACCCTCTGTGCTGGATGATGACTCTGAAGGCCCAAGGGTACATGTCCGTTTGAAACTCAGTATCTTCCCTCTCCTGGGATACTGAAGACCTGGAGTTCCCAAAGCCTGCAATGGCTCACCTCCCTGAATCTGGCCTCCCTAAGGTTGGCCATGCTAAAGCATGTATGTCCCTAAACCCAAGAGACAGCTGTTTCATAAGGTGTGAAGAGAGTCTAGATAGAATGTCCACACGCCTGTGTGTGGCCCCGCTTCCTGTTGGACACAGCCAACGATGAGAAGAGGTGAGCTGATGGTCAGAGACCATGAGTTTTACTCTTTCCTTGTGTGGAGCATGCCCTCGCAGAAACCTTGAATGAGAAGCATACCAGTCACATTAAAAAATGATTCAAGGCAGTGAAGTCCAAAAGTTAAATCACACATGCATGGATGGAGGAAAAACTGGGGAGTCTATCAGGATCCCCAATTTTTCATGTTGCCCCTTCTTTCTCCTCCCTCCTCTACCAACTGGGAAGAAGGCTGCTGAATATTGTGCCTCTAACCTCCTAGGGTCACAAAGAGGAAACAGCAACACCAGAGAATTCCTGATCCTTCTTCCCCTCAACCTCTGTGTTGAAACCCCAAACCTGAAAAAAAGGAATTGCAGAATCCAAATCTTCTTCTCAATTACTTCCTTCAATCTCCCCCTTCTGAGTCAAAAACAAAACCAGGATCATTGAGCATTTTTTTGTGCTTAACACAAGAAATAGCTACAGACTGGGGATACAGGAGGCTGCTGGATTCCAATTAACTTCACCACTTAGCTTTGATTGCTGTGATACTCTGGATGAACTCACTGTTTATTAGTAAATAGGGGTGAGGATCTTAAAGACTAATGATGGCACTGATTGTAGCTATACAATACGGCCCAGATGTTTCTACACTTACTGCTTCCTTTCCTTGACCCTCTTTCCTGTAATTACTAGATAAAAGATGCAAATATGGCATTCAGGAAACCTGAAGCAAACCCAAGCTACTGAGATGGTTAAAGACTAAACTTTGAATATTTGTCTTATACTCAGATTTCACAAGTTACATTAACACATAAGAGAGACACTAGAAGGGGAAAAAAGGCCATACTGCATACTTGAAAGTAAGAATAGGGGAAAAATAAGACACATTTAACATGTACAATTGTTTGATATCTAAGCCAAATCTTGATGAGAAAGCCATACTCTACCATAAAGCAAGGTCATGTATCACAAAATCACCCATAGAAAATAACTCATGAGGGCTGCGCAGGGAACAAAGTACATACATATATCATCCATTTTAAGCTGATCTTACTGATCAGTCATCTCTTCCACAGTATAGAAATTTCATTTATCACTTCCATTTCTCTAAATGAATTTCCTCCCTACCATAGAATTTGTGTTGGGGAATCATAGAAGTGATTTAGTCTATCTAGAATTGCAATCAGATTTCTTTGCATATGGTAAAAGTTCTTACAAAACTAATAGATCAAAAACTAATTACAATGTAAGCCTCAGAATAAGCTACAGAGATTAAAAAAAAAAAAAAAAAAAAAGAGGGAAGATTGCTAGTACTCACCAAATCTGGTTCCTTTCTTCTTCCTGCGTACCCTGCCCTTCTTGCAGTTAGGCAGGACCATGTGATTAATTCTGGCAAATGGACTGTGAGTGGAAAGAAATGGAAGAGACATGTTTCAATTTCATACTAAGGCAGTGAGAAAGTCTTACATTATCCTTCTCTTGTGACTGTCTTCAGCAAATAAAAAGGCCATGTTGTAAAGATAGAATCACAAGATGGCATCTGCTTGGATTCCTAAGTCACTCCCTACTGGAAGGAAGCTTTTCTGGAGAATCTCTAGAACTGCAGCAGACCTCATGTGAGTAAAAATAGCCACTGAGATGTAGAAGAATTTTTTTCTTATTAATTCAGCACTGTCTATCCTAACTAGGATACATATGTTACCGATGTAAGTATACCTAATGTATTAGAGGTGATCTTTAATCCTAAGTAATCCTTAGACCAATAGATCATTGAGTTGATTTGATAGCATATGTAACATATGTGTGTGTGTGTGTGTGTGTGCGCGCGTGTGTGTGTGGCTGAATTTTGATACCCCTAGTCCAAAATAAGTCTTTAAAATTTATTAAATTTACTTACCTTGACTGAAATTTAATTTGAGGACCTACTAGTTAGAATTACCCTAGGGAGTTTCTGGCATCACACACCAAATCCTTGAATCATATTTTGCCTGAAAAAGAAGAAAGGAAAAGCCTAAGATAGTCTAACACGTTAGTCCTATATTTTTTCTGCCCCAGATCCACAAATATACCTTGCCCCTTCACAAACAAGTAGAAACACAGGCATACAGAGACATAGAAACAGATGTACTATCCACTCTATGCCAGAGCTCTGCTAAGTGCTTAAGAACACAGAGTTAAATAAGACATGGTCACTACTGTTAAGGAGGAAGTAGAAATAAAAACCATGAAAAGATTATGATAGAGTGTAATAAGATCTTTTATCCAGGCTACAATTGGAGCTCAGTAGAAGGAGAACCTAATTCTACCCAAAGGAAGACAAAGATGCCCTCACAGAAGAGATGACAGAAGCTGAGTAATGAAGGGAATAAGAATTTTCCAGGTAGACAAGGAGTAGAAGTGTATTCCAGGAAAAAGCACAGTACATGAAAATGTATCAAGTCACAAAAGAACTCCCCAAGTATTTAGATTGGCTGAAATGTAGTGTGCTTGTAGGGGTAATTGTGGGATGCACGTTTAAAAGAGCAAGTCAAAGAGGATCACAAGGCACATTTTAAGCCAGGTTCTTTCAGTTATCTATTGCTGCATAACAAGCCACTTCAAAACTCAGTGGCTTAAAACAACAGTTCATTATTATTTTTTTGGAAGCACCACAGTTCATTATTACCTGTTCTGTTTCTTTGGGTTGACCAGGCTCAGCTCTGTGGTTCTATTTTTGAGGTCTATGATGTTGCAATGAAATGTTGGCTGGGGCTGCAGTTCATCTGAAAGCTCAGTCAATTCTGCTGGAGGTTTAAAATTGCTCAGTCACATGGCTGGCAATTGATGCTGTGAGCACAGCTGGAGCTATCAACTGAAGCACATACACATAGCCCCTCCACATGGCTTGGACTTCTCACATGGTAGCTGGGTTATAAGAAGGAGTCTTCTCATATCATAGTAGCTGGGTTGCAAGAAGGAGTGTCCCCAGAGTAATTGGTCCAAGAAACAGAAAGTATAAACAGCCAGTCTCTTAACTTCTGGGTCCAGAAAATAGAACAGGATTACTTCAGTCATAATTTTGGTAAAGCAGTCACAGAGCCCATTCCCTATTTAATGGGAGTGAACATAGACCCCATTTCTCAGTGGGAAAAGTATCAAAGTATATGTAGCCATCTTTAGTCCGTCACACAGGGCAAGATCTTAAACTTTATTCTGAAAGCACTGAATGGAAAGCAAACATAGGCCTTTAAACAGGAGACTGATAACACAGAGTTACATTTGAGAAAGATGATGCTAATGGCAGAGAAAGGAATTTGGTATTGGGGGAGAAAGAGTAGATTCTAAAAGCTCAATTAAGAAGAAATGAGCTCACACGAGAGATCATGAGGGTTTGAAATTGTGATCGCCTCTATAATGCTGGAGAGGAGAGAATAGAGTCAAGAAAATTTGAGGAGACAAAAATGACAGGACGTGGTGACAACTTTGATATAGGGACAAATGAAGTAAAGAGAATAGACAAAAACCACTCCCAGGCATCTTAATATTTAAGTGAGTGGTGATCTCATTATATGAAAAAGATCAGAAAAAGAAACTAGGGTAGTGAGGGGAGCAAAGGACGAATTATGAATGCAGTTTTACTTTTAAAACTATAAAAACATTTCTTTATAGTTTAAAAAATAAAATTAAGAAAAAATTGTTTTTAATGGAATAAACATTAGATAATGCATTTCTCAGGACTCAGTAATCTTCTCTATATTAGAAAGCCTAAGTGAGTATTATGGAAGAAATAAATATTTTTTCTTCCTCTTTTTAAGTTTATCTACAAAGAATTCCTTTGCAAAACTGTCAACATTCTATCACCTGACAGAAATTAAATTTAATAAATCTGCCTATATTAGAAAAATGGATTTTATAAACTGTAAGTGTCATTAAAAATTAATAGCATCCATTTCCTACAAAGCCCCTACTTTCCATTTTTCTGAGCCATCTTTCAGAATATAATTTGCTTACATTTTGATCATCTACAAATGATTGGCTTTAGCCATTTCAGATGAGCCCCCACTTGAATTCCCCGGCAGCACTAAACTGAGATCAATCATCTCCATAAGTATCTACTCAGAGGACACAGCAGTCTCCACTCACTGCAAATGAAATGCTAGCTATAAGAATAGAGAGTCCAGAAATAATCCATGTATCTGTAATCAATTGATTTTTGACAAAAATACCAAAAAACCACAATGAGGCAAGGGTAGTCTCCTCAATAAATGATGCTGGAAAAGAAATATTTATATGTAAAAGAACAAAATGAGACCCTCATCTCACAGCATATTCAAAAATCAACTCAAAATGAATTAGACAATTAAACTGGAGACCTGAAACTGTAAAACTACTAGAAGAAAACATAAGAGAAAGCCTCTGTGACATTGGTCTGTGGAAAAAAAAAAAAACGTTTTGGATATGACTCCAAAAGTACAGGCAACAAAAGCAAAAATAGACAGGTGGGATTACATAAAACTAAAAACCTTCTGCACAGCAAAGAAAACAATCAAAAGAGTGCATAGACAACCTGTGGAATGGGAGAAAATATTTGCAAACCATATATCTGATAAAGGATTAATAGCCAAAATATATAAGGAATTCAAACAACTCAATAGCAACAAAAATGAACAACCTGATTAAAAAAATAGACAAAGATGGGAGGCCAGGGTGGGAGGATCACTGTTGATAGGACTGTAAATTAGTAAGGCCATTATGGAAAACAGTATAGAGGTTCCTCAAAAAATTAAAAGTAGAGCTACTGTATAATCCAACAATTCTACTACTGGGTATATATCCAAAGGAAATGGAGTGAGTATGCCAAAGAGATATCAGGACTACTGTGTTCACTGCGGCAATATTAACAACAGCCAAGGCCGGGCGTGGTGACTCACGCCTGTAATCCCAGCACTTTGGGAGGCCGAGGTGGGTGGATTACCTGAGGTCGGGAGTTTGAGACCAGCCTGGCCAACATGGTGAAACCCCGTCTCTACTAAAAATACAAAAAAATTAGCTGGGCGTGGTGGCAGGTGCCTGTAATCCCAGCTACTCAGGAGGCTGAGGCAGGAGAGTCACTTGAACCTGGGAGGCAGAGGTTGCAGTGAGCCAAGATTGCACCACTGCACTCCAGCCTAGGCAATAGAGCCAGACTCTGTCTCAAAGAAAAAAAAAATAGCAAAGATACAAAATCAACCTAAGTGTTCAAAAAGGGATGAAAGGATAAAGAAAAGGTGGTATATATACACAACAAAATACTATTCAGCCTTTACAAAGAAGGACAATGTCATTTGTGACAACATGAATAAACCTGGAGGACATTATGCTAAATGAAATAAGCCAGACACAGAAAGACAAATATTGCATGATCTCATATACTTATATATGATATATATCATATATATCTTATTTATTGACTAAAACAACTTTATAGTTATTTAGACTGACTAAATACATCAACTAAAATAACTTTATAGAGGCCTGGAAACTAGTCAAACATCTATAGCAACCAAGCAAACATCAAATCAACAAAAAGCTTCATTCAAAATGGTAGGAAATTTTTGGCTTTTTTTTTTTTTTTTTTTTTTTTTTTTTTTTTTGGTCTTTGCCCACATTCTACCCAGAACAGTGAATTCAGGAGGAAGTGGCCCAATTCCTGGTTTCCTTCCTTGAGCCAGAAAAAAACAGAAGATATTTGCAATGTTCTATCCTGTCCACATGAGATCATACATATACGAAATCTTTAAAAGTTGTACTCATAAAAGTAAAGAGTAGAATGGTGGTTACCAGAGGCTTGGTGGGGGTTGGGGGGATAAAGACTGGGGAGATGTTGATCAAAGGATACAAAATTTCAGCTCAATGAGAATAAGTTCAAGAGATCTATTGTACATCATGGTGACTATAATTAATAATGATTATTGTATACTTGAAAATTACTAAGAGAGTAGATTTTAAGTGTTTTCACCACAAAAAAATAAGTATGTGAAATAGGCCGGGTATGGTCCCTCAAGCCTGTAATCCCAGCACTTGGGAGGCTGAGGCAGGCGGATCACCTGAGGTCAGGAGTATGGCGAAACTCTGTCTCTACTAAAAATACAAAAATTAGCCAGGCATGGTGGCGCATGCCTGTAATTCCAGCTACAGGAGGCAGAGGCAGGAGAATCGATTGAACCCGGGAGAAAGAGGTTGCAGTGAGTGGAGATCGTGCCACTGCACTCCCGCCTGGGCGACAGAGTGAGACTCCGTCTCAGAAAAAAAAAGAAATAATACATATGTTAAATGGCTTGATTTAGCCATTCCACAATGTATGCTTACATCAAAACATCATGTTGCACAGTCTAAATAGATATATATAATATTATTTGTCAATTAAAATGTAAAGATGAAATAATGTTTTATTAAAAAAAGAAATGCTAGCTACAGATACATTTTGAAGAAGCACAAAAACAGCATTGGTACTCCTCCTGCTAGGTGTTACTGCTGCCCAAGATTGGCTAATGGCAGACCAAATTGAAGCACAGGCCTCACAGAAGCTCCATGCTATTAAAGGAAGCTCTAAATGATCCAGTGTGGTACACATAGTAAGTGTTAACTTTTGGATTATACCTACACCATGCTATTGAAATGGTTTGAAGCAAAACCTTTTCATTGGATCTTTATTTTAAAATTAATTTTTCAATTACACATATATCCTCAGACCTCATCAGCCTGGAGAATTCCATTAGCATTAGAAAACTAAATTGTTCTGCATTTTACCATCCCTCTAAGATTTCTAGCCTGATAAAAGTGTCCCCCACACATTCCACTCTACCATATACTTCTAGCAGTCCCCAAGGGGTTTCTCACATGTAATCATGAGCAACTCCTAACAGTTTGCACTTGATACTATTTCTTGGATGTCTTGAACCTGCCCCCTTCAGTGGAGACTGCTAAGGCCCCTAGTGGTGACAAAGCTATGTGAAGTTATCTGGCCTC